AAAATGGTGTTTTCTTGTTTTTTGAACAAGTTTCTTTCATAAGAATCAAGTTGATAAGGAACTAATTGCTGGCATTCCTTACTATTTAGTGCTTTTTGCCTAAATGCCACCAACACTTTTCCTTCCCATCTTAAGAGTTTTCAGGCGTTAACAGCTCTCCAGATTCCAAGTCTCCTTCTCCAAAGACATCCCAGTTTTCCAGCAGTAGGACCAGGTTGAAGCGCATCACTCCAAGCGTCCCCATCACGGACGTGTGCTATGGCAGACTCAGCTGCAGGGTAGCCCACAGCCAGAGCGTGAGCTGGGTGGGCTGTGCGTGTGCCATTGACTCTGCACTGCTGTAATCAGAGCAGCTGAAAACAAATTTGGGTGCAACCCTTTTCTTCAGAGAAGGCTTAAATGAATTTGAGTCTGGCACACTCTCTTGTTAAACTACTGTCGTAACTAATGATTTTGCCATTCAGAAATGAAGTATTGATCTTAAAAAGAGTTTTTCTTACACAGCCCATGGCTTGATACCTTTTAAACACTAATGCCCAGGGTATAATCTCTGTGAATAGCATAATAGCTTTATATTTAAGGTAGATTGGGGATAAAATTTTGTGTGTTCATGTGAACTATGAATACCAGTAAGGTATTCAAGCAGGAATTACCTAATCATGCCTTTGAGGGCACTTATCAAATAATTTTTATTGGAAACTTAATATATTGAGACAGTGTGAATGGGAAGCTGATCAGAATGCTAAGGAATGTCCCAGCATCGCATTGCTTTGCTGTCTGCAGATATGCAGTAGGGCTTGATTAATTTAGCACATCATCTAAAATCATGTAGCGTTGAGTACCGATAAAAATTATATGAAACTGTGTGCAAGAGATTTCTCCATGCTAGCTGTGAAGGATCCCCTGTTCCCTGCAGAAGTCACTGCGATGGCACCCGTGCAGCCCCACCGACTGCAGGTGTCACACGCCATGGGCACCGGCGCTGCACCAGCAGCCAGAGGACTTGCTTGGGATTTAATTTCACGCTTGTGTATCTGAGCATCAGATTGGTCCCCTTCTTTTTTTTAACTGTATATTTGCAAGTCTCAGACCATACATTATGGCATTCCCTGCTCCTCTGCCCGCAGCACTGGCACGTTGTATCAAATCAAACCTTGCGGGGTAAGGTCTCTTGCTCTCCTTTTTCCTCCTGTCTCCTGCTGTGTATTTCTCTCCCCTCCCCATTCATCTAGTTTAGATGCTCCATTTTGAGTCTTCCAGCAGTATGTTCCTCCCCTCCTATTGTCCCGATTTCCACTTCCCCCACTTTTGCAGGGTTCCCAGAAGATCAGAGACTCCTTGTGTTTGCTCTGTGCTGGACCAGCCCATCTAATTGCTGGCTGTTCTCCAGTCTCCAGTTCTGTGGGAGTGGAGCAGGAAATCACTTGGCTGCGCTGTTCCTGAGCTGTTAACTGTCTCCCAGCTGAGAAAGTCTCATGGAAACCTGCAGTGAGGAGCATTAATAACTTAACTCTTAAGTACTTTTTCTAGTACTTGTTCTCATATTATACAAGCAAAAGATATCGGTCGAGTTTGTCAATTATTTCCACGTATAACTTCTGAAAAGGTAGAATTGGAATGATGCACAAAAATGAATGCATGTACTCTAATGACTGGAGTAAAACCTTTAGCTGGATGTTTTCTCCAGTGAAAGAGGAAGATTCAGCAGTGCTTGAATGCCTGTTACCTTTTCACTGGTGTCATTGAGTTGCCTTGATCAAAAGGTCCATTCCTGGTGCCCCCCGAAACCTGGAAAAAGTAAAATGTCTGACATGTAAAGAAGCATTTTTTAAATAATTTGATTGTGATGCTTCTCTTCCAAACTTTTGGCTGTTTAAGGTAGAAATGAAGGGCAAGTTGGGGTTCAGGCAAATGTATTTTCAGTTTTTCCACAACAGGTGAATCTGAAAATCTCCTGCATGCTCTGTTGTATACCTCACACCTCCAAATCCCCTGACCCCAGCTGATAGCAAACAACAAAAGCTCCTCAAGATTGAGCCTGCCTTTTCCTGATAGCCTTATCAGCGTGAGATATTGCCAACAATAGCTGCTTGTTCCTGCAGTGTTTTCTCCTTGCTCACATCGCCCTGTGCAGGGTACATGGCCATACTGCAAGCAGGCTGAGGAGCTGGGAGGAGAACATTGCGTTTTCTATGTCAAAGACACCATTACCTTCCCAATTCACTGCATGGCCAGGGTCTTCACCTGTCATCCTTTTCCTAGAGTTTCTGCAGTTATCCAGTCGACCTCTATCTTCTCTACATGGCTAATGGCTGCTGAATTACTGCACGTCTATTAGGAGACTGTTGTCATTACCATTGGGCTGCCTACCATCATTGCAGGGCTTTATTTAGAACAGTGTGATCCAGTTTGTTTCATGTTCAGTCCTGCAGGAGATGTTTAGCAGCACAGCCAGCAAGTTCTCATCTACAGTTCTCTTGACAAGTGCTTGAGCTGTCCTTTTGCTTTGTGCTTTGGTATAATTAAACCTGTGTATAACATGACCCTTCACTATTTATGAGTGTAGATAAATGTACAAATCTATTGTATACATACAGAAAACTGAAAATGCATGTATTTACTAGAATACTAGGCTTTTAATTGTGTAAATATAATGCTGACTAAAGCAAATGTTCAATTTCACATTGAAGTAAGGCATTCATAAAAGCCTGGATTTGCATAATTCAATTTTCTGCACAGAAAATACTGCAGATCAACAGTATGATTCATAACTTGTTCCATGGTTGACGTATGGCTCTTTGACAGTGCAAGCCAGGATTACAAAGGGCTTCACAGTTTTGGATGCTTTGCACTGACTCAAAGCCTTTCTCCTTTCAACACATACAGATGATTTGAATGAGTTCCTTTCTTTTGATGGTAAAGCACACAGCAGGGCTCACTGAGACAGAGCCACAGGAGCAGCTTCCTCCTTGGAGGTGGCAGGGTGATACCATCCTCCTACCTGCAGGAATCATAGCTTTTGCAGGGGAGATGGGGGATGAACCCACAATTATGTGCTCCCTCTGCATAGAGGATGCTCAGGAAAGAGTTGCTTCTCTCTTTTAGTAGTAAAGAGGGACTTAAGATATTTTTCCCAGGATACAAGATTTTTCTCTTCTTGAGTGATGAGGCTAGTTTTTCCTGATAGCCTTTCCAGCCACTCTCCCGGGTTAGTTCTATGTTCCATTCCTTAGCTGTTCATGGTCTGTGGTGTTGGCTTGTTTGTTCGTTTTGCCAAAACAGTTTGGGTCTCTGTATCTCTCATCTGTTCCTTCCAGTTGATGCAAATGTCTGTTGCCTCCCAACCAGGTAGGCATATTGGGGTAAATCGGAAGAGAAAATAAGGTGTGTGGTGTAGAGCTGCCTACAAACCCTCATAGTGCATGTTCCAGAGTTTCTAGTTCAGCCTGGAGTGAATTAGCATTTGGAAAGTTGCCAAGAAATTTGGAAAACTCATTCAAATCAGAGGCTCATAATAAATGGCACAATTAGTGCCTTTGTTCGCACAAGGGAAGAAATTGATGAGAGCAGACCTGCAGTGCCTTTCCTGGGATTGCATGGCTTTTCTTACCGTTTCAGCATTCCAAAACCTGCAGCAATGCATGACCCTTGCTGAAGATTGCAGGTTGTCTATGTAGTACCTGTTGGCTGCAGTTTGTTCTCTGCTGCTGTGGCACCAAAGGGTGCGATAACCAGAAGCATCTGCAAAGTTCTTGACATTCGGTAAAGATCTGCTACCAGCTGTAGTTGGCCTGGGAGCAGACGGGAATCTGAAGCTCGGTGACTGTATTTGGGTAGAGATGCTTTGGGCAGTTTTCTAAAGTTTTACTTTCAATAATTCAACTAGTTACTGATCAAATAAATGATCAGTTGGACTTAAATTGCCATTGAGTCATGTAGCGTGTGCCTGTTCTTCACATTTTGCATATGGGTTTATTTGGTGGTGTGTTTATTAGAGCATGGGAATTTCCAGTTGTGATATTGGAGAAAGATTGAATTTATCGTGGATTGGTTACTGACATTTGTGTAGTCACGCACTTCCCATTGGGTTCCGTGAGATGTACAGAAATACTGAATAAAATTTGCATGCAAACCTTCCTTACCACCCACCCTTCCCCCCATTCCCCCCCCCCAAAAAAAAATAACAACAACAACAACAAAAAAGCACTTCCTTGTGAAAGTTACGTATTTCTTCACAAGAAAAATTATTGGGTTTCAGTGTAGGATGTGTTCTTTATGTTTTGGTTGCTAAATTTAATTCCTTCTAGCTTGTGAAGTTTTACAAGGATTCCTTCTTTGCTGGCCTCTCCCTTTTATGTCAGAAGGCGTTGGTGTTGCATGCTGGATATTCATCTGACACACGCAGCGTTGCTCTGGCTGGAAGGCAGCACTGTGTGTCTGCTTTGCTTGGATGAATCCTGTGAGGCGATGTTTCTGGAGCCCTGCTCGTGTTCAGGCTGTTACCCCGTGTGCTGTGGGCTCAGGTCTGCAGGCTATATGTAGAGATTTGTTCCCTCCTGAATGAGGCTGTTCTAAATGATTTAAAACAAAGTTGTGATAGTAAGGATAACGTGCTTCTGCATTTATAGTCTTTCAAGGATCTTGGTCATTTCTGTGTAGGTTTACTAGTTTGGTAGCTTGTTTTCCGAATGGCCATCTTGAGGTCAGAGGAAAATCAGACACATCTTGCTTTTTGTTTACTTGTGTATATCAGAATATCCTTATGGATAGTACTGAAGTTAGACTGGTACGTGCTAGATAAGAATAAAGGCATTGGTGAGTCCTACCTTCTCTGAATCATCTTTGAGCATTGGGCCTCCATGGATGAGGAGCACACCTGCTAATTTTCTTTAAGCGGTGCCAACTTTGTAGTTTCTGCTCAGCGAGGATTTAAGCTTTGCAATGTAAACTCCAGGGAGTAAAGACCACTTTCCTAACGATTCCTACTTTTCTCTTCCCAGCTCTGACCGAAGGTTATGTTGGCTCTCTGCATGAAAACAGACATGGTAGTTCTGTGCAGATACGGAGGCGAAAGGCTTCGGGGGATCCTTACTGGGCATACTCGGGTGAGTTGGATTCTTCAGAGCAGTGAAACATGAAATATCTCCAGAACTAAAATTTCTTCGCTTTTTGTTACTACTATGCTCAGAAATAGGGTTTCTGAGCCTTCATTTACAGTGTATTTTCTGCTGACCTCCTAGTGACTTCCTCTACAGTAATCCATTCCTTTCCTGCGTTTCTGTCAGTTACCTGCAAAGTTTTCCTTGTAACTCTGCTCCTTCTGTGTATAATGTTTTAAGTCTCTTAACGTAGCCCTGCATACTCCCATGAACTTTACGTTGTCTAAACAGCGTCTTTCCAAGTTTACAGTTTGCTTGCACTGAATCTTGTAGGAAAACTGTAAGGGTTGGATTGACACAGGTGACGAGACACTGGAAATTTTACAGTTAATTATCTGCATGTGTGTTATCACAGTAGAGTGTAGTAAGGACAGTGAGAACTGTCAGTGCAGTAATGCACCAGGTGTGTGATGCTGAGAAGGTCAGATGTAGGAGGCATTGCATTATTTGTCCTGTTGCTCTTACAAGAGCTCTTATGAAACGTTAAGGAACTGTGCTTCTATGCAGACCATGAAATTTCACTGGAAGTGAATGATTATAGGTGAAGTTGCAACTTTTTTCCACTAATACACAAAATACCAATGTTGCATTTTATTTATCAGATCCTGAATATAAGCTGCTTCACTTGTGAATGAGATCATACAAGTAAAATACTTCTAAGCATTTTAGTAATGTAGGACAAGCTCTGCTTTCTGTTTAGAACTTTGAGGTTATCATCAAATGCACAGATATTTTAAGAGTTAATTCTGTGCTTCAGCTTAAAGCAACTCATTTAGGTTTTAAGCCTCCAAACAGTGGAAGATAACTTTTGTGTTGAAATGAATGGGCTATTCTTATGTGTTGTCTTGCAATAAAATATTGTATGTTAAGTGATGCTTGGCAGGTTTATTTTGTTTCTGTTGCTGAAAATTGTTGGTAGTTAAATCAAAATGTTTGGGAAAAACAAAAGTAGTGGAATTAATCAGTTGTCATATATGTCATAACTCATTTATTTGAGTTACTAGACTTTTTAACCAGTCTTTTGCCTTAAAAACAAACAAAAACAGAAAAATACACACACAGAAACAAATCTACCAAAACAAAAAAATAAGTCCTACCCACCAAAAGTAACCAAATCTCATTTATGCATACAACATTCTTCCTAATTCTATTTTTGCACTGGTGCAGTTCTTCCTTTATGAGTAACATCATTTGTTCACCCCTTCAGAAGAGCTTTTACCACCCACTAATCCTTTTAGATTTGTGTCATAATAAAGCGTATAGTCCTGATGTGTAATTATACCTTTCCTGTTGGATTTTGCATCCTTTTGTCTATTGATAAATCTCCCGCTTTCATGAGAAAAATAGCCAACCTGTTTTTAGAGAAGTTAGTGACTTCTTGATCATCAATAATGTGCCATTCCACCTGATCAGCTCTGATCCTTTTTTTGTCACTGTTGCTGACAAAAGGAGTAAACTAGGAGATGGAAAAGATGGAAATGATGTATTTACCAGTGCTTGTCAAGAAACCAGGTGAAGATTTAATATTTTCTCAGCATGCTTAGTCATGCTGCCATTTGATCTGAGTAACTTAAAATGTCATTCCAGGGGGCAAGTGGTTTGGCACCAGCTATTCCAGCTGCAAGGCATGAGTTCTTGTTGAAGCTTTCATGATGCGAAATACAAGCGTAAGCTAACAGTGTAGGTACAGCGCGACCTGGCTGCGTGGGTTCTGTGTAACCTACATCAGAACAAGGCCATGCTGGAAGAGGCTGGAGGCCTGGTAGCCTCCTGAGCCCCTTTGAAGCCCATGCTGCAGGGAGGAGCAGCTCTATCCCACTGAGCTGCACAGCGAGTGCTGGTAGGTCTGCATGAGAGCAGGATGACATGGGCATGTGCCAAAGGTGAATGTTGTGCTGAAGGCAATGTTCGCAGGGTTGCATTTGGGAAGAAAAAGGCAAATCGAGAAATGGGGAAGACACAGTAATTTCAGGAATAAATGGTGGATTGCAGAGCCCAAATGTCAAGCAGTTGTTTTTTTCTAGTCAGGCACATTGAAGAGGATGCTCAAGTTATCTATTCCTTTCTCTTGCATCCCGGTTCCCCAGAGTGTTTCCCAGAGCACTGAACAGGGCTTGGCTAAGCAGTTTATGTACTAACATCAGTCTTGCAGGAAGGGTTTTGGATGTAACTAGGAAGTTTATATCAAATGAGCTTACAGAGTGGGAAATTCACTCTGCAGTAAGCAATTAGTCCGTGTCAGTGGCTTCCAAGCTCTTCTATAGATGTTAACCAGTAGGCTGTTCCCCTTTCTTGTCCTCACATGTTCAGACCAGCTCTCTTCCAGCTAGTTGTACAGCAGCTGCTGGCTCCAGCTCTGGCAGTTATGGGCAGAGAAAAAAGCTCTGCTGGCCTGTATGCTGCTGAATTTAAGTCTCTTGTAAGGGAAGTTGCCAACTAGAGTAAATAAGACCGGGACAGCTTCTGCTTGCTGTTGGCATACGACCACAGGCAGAGCTCAGTGTTGACCAGTAGGCCCATGTCTCTGCTGGTTCTGTGTTAGGCTGAACTGTGGCTTTATATTGATTTCAGTTGAGCTCTACTGATTGATAGTCAGTGAGGCCCCTTTACATTTATGGCTACGCCTGCCTCCTTTGCAGAGTTTTCGTATTTTTGGTCTTAAATGCTCTGAAGTAAATTTTGAGGTAGGACTGAAAGGTGTGGAAGTAGGCAGCTGATTGTGGTTTCCCTGCCTGGGGGTGCAAAAGGGCACAGCTGTGCTGTGGAGAGCCGTCAGCTCTTTATCTTCCACAGGATGCTAAGTGAATAGAACTCTGTGGCATGTTGAGAACACTGCTGCTGCTCCACACACTTGTGGGGGGGGGGGGAAAGTGGCTCAGAAGCTGTTTTGATTCTCCAGAGATGGGGAATTTTCCTGGTTTCATGAGGTACTTATGGGATTGCTAATGGTGTTGCTTGTGATGTCATTCTTCTCAGGCACAGGAGCTGAAAGAGAATTAAGTTCAGCCACTGATGAGGAGTCAGGCACATTTCAGGTCTAACGTTTGTATGAGGCACTTACCTGCCTGAGTAGTTCCCACATTCACCCTGTGAACTCCTGTGCCTTGTGCTCACGCTGCACGTGTCCTGCAGCAAGCCTTGGAGCCTGCACTGCAGAGCTCTCCCTTCCCTGTCCAATTGTAAAAGATAGGATTCAGAAACCTTGTAAAATAAGCCCTTTGTTTACAGGCACAATTCCAACTGTAACATTTACTCCAACTGAGGAATAAAACTCACAAAAATGAAGAGCAGATAATGAAATGAAAGGCCCATTTTAAATGAGTTTTGTCAAAAAGACAGAAGGAAATACAATTGGCCTTTCAGAAGAAACTTCATTAAGTCTGCGCTAGGAGCTCTTTAAACCAAATTCAGAAGTGAGCAACCACTGACAGCAGAGCACAGTAACTTGTCTCAAGAGGAGCTGCATGAGTGAATGGAGACTGAGATCTCCTAGATTTTAGGAGTTTTCAGGAAATCTAACTACATTTCTAGGCAGACTTCTGTGCACACATGTATTTATGTATATTGGCAAAGCATTTATTCCACGAGCATGTCTTATGGTTTGCCAGAGACTTTCCTAAATTGCAGCTGACCACATTATTTGCAGTGTAATGGGAATGTGAAATGGGCACAGCAGAGCCAAAGCGAGAAGTAGGTGTGGATCCTGGATGTGCCTCACAGCAGTCCTCAGGACTTCTCACTGTTGTTTTTTCCATCAGGCTAGCCGCTGCATGAAGGACAAGTTTGAAATGGCTTTCAGCATAGTCTTTTATTCCCACAAAATTCAGCATCTTTCTAATATCCATAACAGCAACAGATAGCAAGCAGTAGAGGTGCCTTCCTGCCAGTAGAGAGAGGTTTTTGTAGCTACAAAATATTTCTTAAACATGAAAAGAAATCCTACAGAAACATGCAGCTGGAAGTACCGCATCCAGGGCTTTCTGGCTGGCCCTCCCCTGTGCATTGTGTGCAGTTTCACAGAGCATAATATTTCAGGCTTTTGAAGATTACTCTCAACTGTCAAGTGTTGTGTCTATCAGTGCTGAAAACACTTTACCAGTGACCTGACAGATGCTATTTTGCTGTGCAGTAGCTCCCAAAAATGGTTAGCGAGAGGGTCAGGACTTCAGGATGATGTTGGTGATATTCCGTTATGAGATGCTGAGTCAGATGTTTGTATCTAAAGTTAGCAGCTCTAAAGGGTCTACCTATAGCCACTCTAAAAATATACCTACACTCATACATGTCTTTTTTTCTGAAAAACTGTTATGCAACATTAGTGTAACTGTTGCTGCAGTGAGATTATATAAAGCCAGAAGTAACTGTAGGGAAGCAGCACTCTTTCCTCTGTTATCAGATCAGGAGGCTCCTCTTGAGTCGTTAATGCATCTTCACTTACATCTAACATGTGTGATCACAGGGCGTGGAACTGGGGGGCTGTGCTGTCTGAGGGCAGGATGCTGCAGGTGACAGTGCTTTTGTCACTGGAGTTTAATGATGTACCCAGTGTTTGTACCGCAGGGCTGGGCCACCCTGCTCTCTTGGTGTCTGTTCTGCTGCTCAGCCCTGGTCTTGCAAGCTGACTCATTCAAGGAATACTCCCTTCTAAGTAATCAAAACCATTTGTACTTTTTAGAGAACAAAAAAGTAGACACTAGCCAAGGATGTGTATGTGTTCTTTTTGCTTGTTTATTTAACTATGGCTTTGCAAAGATTTTTTTAATAGAAAATGCACAGTTCTTTTTAATCTTAAGGTGTTTTCAAGGCATCTTTTTTTCCTCTTTGTACTTTTGATGGCTCTCATTTTCAATGTGAAATTATTCACACTACTTACAATGCTTCTGTCTTTTATGCTTTATATTACTGATGTTTTTTCCATCTGTAACATTGGATCCCTTTCTCTTCAA